TTGTGTGTATTGTGAGTGTGTTTGTGTTGTATGTGTGTGTTATTTGGTGTTGTGTTTTGTTTGTTATGTATATATGTGTTGTGTGTATATATATGTGCTGTGAGTTTGTTTGTGTGTATATGTTGTATGTGTTATATATATATATCCGATAGAACAACTTAAAAGATAAAAAAGTATCACTAATTTTTTCAAGCTTATTGCAAGTTCAAAGTATTATTTGTACAAATAAGAATCCCCTTCTGATTTCTTCTTCATATATATAGATACAGGATCTATGAGACAGTTACTTAGAAGTACAGTATAAAAACCAATACAATAAAGGAAGACAACATAAGAGCTTAAGCTAGCCCTCACATGTCAACCATATAAAAACCAATACAATAAAGGAATATAACAGTAAAAGTATTCATATATCTCTCCAAACTCAGCAAAAACAGAAGCATCAATAGATATTCATCCAAAATTACTCTTTTAAGAGTAGAAGGAAGATTTAAATAGATCTCCCCTCTTAGACACAATATCCTTTACATGAATCCATCTAATATTACTACAAATTGCCTCTACGTCAGAAAAGGAAGATTTATTAGTAGGATGTAATGATCAATGAATGATAGTATATATACAAAGAGTGGAAGAGGGAGTAAGAAAGAAAAACAAAACATAAGACGTTAAAAACCTCTATCTGTTTAAAATATGCATATCGTCCCAAAAGTGCCACATTAAGTTGTCAACTTCTTTGAGAGAGAACAAATAAATAAAAACACAATGCTGAAAAGTTGACTATTAAAACCATGGACACTCAAAATTGCTCCCTCAAGATCTGAACCTCTCGATTTTTATTCCGTACAAAAAGAACTTTTGAGACAAAAATACATCAAAAAATTCTCATTTATAAGATGAATAAAGTTTTCAACAAGTATAATTATGTCTGAAACTTCAGATGACGATGATCTTTCATGACAAGCAAATATAATGTTCAATCCCAAGGTGGATGATCATCTTGACTAGTTCGAGGTGGTTCAGGTTTCCATTCTGGTTTCTCGTCCCAGTATATGTCATAGTATATGTGGCCAGGGTCACGGTTCTCCACGCAACACCACAATCCGACGTATCTCTTCATGCGATTTCTAAATTTTACTTCTCTTGCCTAAATCAACTCATCACGTTATCATCTAGAACAAAATAGTGATATAGAAAAGGAATTTTTAGCCAAAAAAAAAATGTACGATAATGCTTACCTCATCATTGAACCCTTGGAAGGCATTCGCCATGGATGAAAAGTGCAAGACTTTGATATCTTTGTACTGGGAGAATACTTGCATGTACTGTAAGACAAATTAGCAAACTATTTAGCAAAGCTTCTTAACTTTTCTAGAGTACATCAGTAAAAGCTTCAAGCATCTACCCTTTTCATGGAAAAAAAAATACAAAATAATCATATCCATGTGTCATGACCATGTCTGATTAACTATAAGACAAAAAAGTAACAAAGTCCGTTAAAAACACAAATACACGTTTCTAGAGCTTGTAATAAGAAACCAGTTCTTTGCTCTGCTTTTTGGCATTGTATCAAGAGGCCTTAGAAGAACACATAGAATATGGACAACAATAGAAAGTCAAAGGTTTAAGGTTCCAAGACTAGAATACTAAGTTGTCTGCTTTCTAACTGAACTTTGCTTAGTTAATACCATTAGAAAATGTGCTCCCACCAAATGAACAGACAATCTTATCCTACCACCATTATTATTATGATCTTAAACCATTACATAATCAAAATTTAATCATTAGATGTATGTACCATCTGCTCAGTGCTATTTCTGGGAAATTGGATGAAACCACGGCTAGTTGTTCCATCGGATATATTGCATCCTTTGGAATGTGCATCACAAAGTTGAACATTAAGTAATGATTCCTTCACCTGAATCCATAATAAAAAAATGTTATTGGGATTGAAATATATGTATGAGCCACTGAAAAACTGTACGAGCTGCTAAGTATTGCATATTGATACAATAATATTTTTACATGTTTGGGCACTGATGGATTCTGCAGGAATGAGTACTCCCTGAAATGAATTTGTGGTCCAAACTCTTCTTCAGAAAGGCCATGGAGCATGGTATGAATCTGCAATGGTGAATCAACTCTAATCAGATGATCGAAATTGTGGCAACAGGCGTAACAATTATAACATGCAAAAAACAGTTTACATGCAGTGGAAGAAGAAAAAAACAAGCAGTGAGATGCTGTAAATATAATCAAGCATATACTTCCATTCACAAAAGACTGTCCTTTTAAAATAACTAATTAATACTGACAACAAAGACTAAAAAAATTTATTCCCAACCATTATAGATGGGATTGCTAATGGATCTCTTCTTTGTTGCTATGCTCGGTATCAAGATTTTAAATACTGGTCCAATACAAGTTTTCAACATTTGATCTGACCATTATGGTACTGGTATATCAAGCAGTGTATTCTTTGTTACATTGTTACCAAATGAAAAGAAGAAATTGAAGAACAAAAGCAACGTAAAAATGGATAAAGCATAGAGATTAGAGAATACCTATTTTATCGAATCTAAAGAAGATAAAACTACACTCTATGATCAAAGGACGAACAGAAATTGGTATCAAAATCAATTGGTTGAAGGAGAATGAATGAAATGTTTCGGGAAAATACAGTACACGAT